CCAGGGGGGATGGTCACGCCGCAATCCCTTCTCCTCCATTCTCCTCTCGGGATCTTGGGCACGCACACACACGCGCCCGGCGAGAGTTTTAAGCCACCGGGTCCAGGACGTGAACCACGATCGACTAAGTGGGAGTCCAGCGACATAGCCATTATGCTAACTGCTGGTTCCCAGGGTCATTTCATTTTTAAAGCAACTTTAAAGCTGTGGAAAAGTCAATGATACCTTGATACTTCAAGGCTATGAAACTGTTACTATTGGTCTGTTTCCAGTCTTCCGAAGTCTGCCTTCTGAGATCAGGTATTTGTATTAGCTATCACTTCTTAGAACCGCAGCAAACTCTTTCTGAAATCCATGAGGTCTAGAATTCTAATTTTTTTTTACATCATTCAGTATATTTAGCTGTGATACTGGGCTAGAGAAGCTGAACTCCCCCTATTCTTTCTCAAATGGAGCAGACCTTATTTTACTGTCCACACTCATGTTCTTTGAATTCCCATGTGTAAATGAATAGCCTCCAACTGTGTAGTTCTATCAGAAGTTAGTCCCTGCCCTCCCTCACCTTCAACCTGGAGTCCCGCTATCTCTCCCCACTCTGCTTTACCTTGTCTCTTTTTTTTTCTTTTATTGACGTATAATAATTGCATATGCTTGTGGGGTAAGTGTGATTTTTCAGTACAAGAACGCAGTGTAGACTGTAGTCAGGATACCCATAACCTCAACTGTTGGTCATAACCTTGCGTTAGAAAGGGTGCTCTTTTTCAGTTACTCTGAGGTATACAGGAAATTGTTACTTCACTTTATAACACTAGACATGGTTTCTTGTTTATCTGACCTTGTTTCTGTTCATTAATATCTTTCTGTCCCTATCCCTGCCTCAGCTTCATCCCACCCAGCCCCTGGTAGTCGTTTGTAAACTCTATATCTATGAGGTCCTTTTTTCTTTTTTAAAGTTCCCACTCTGACTTGGAACGTGCGACTTTCCTTTTTGTGCCCGGCTGACTTCACGGAATGTAATGCCCTCTGAGTAAATACACGTACATTTTCTTTGCTTATTCGTTTGTTGATCCCCTCTTATCATGAATAATGTGCAGTGAAAATGGGGGTGCAGATATCTCCTCAACACACTGAATTCTTGTTCTTTTCCTTTTTTTTTTTTTTTTTTTTTTTATATTTTTGCCAAGGCACACACACTTGCTGTAGAGAAATGGGGATAGCAGAGTGAGAAATGACCCCACAGGGAACCAGCAGTTAGCGTAATGGCTACGTCGCTGGACTCCCACGTAGTCGACCGTGGTTCACGTCCCGGACCTGGTGGCTTAAAACTCATGCCAGGCGCGCGTGTGTGTGTGTGCCCAAGATCCCGAGAGGAGAATGGAGGAGAAGGGATTGTGGCATGACCATCCCCCCTGGGAGGTTATTTCTCGCTTTCTGTCTCTATGTCTCTCTCTGTCTGTCTGGCAAGCGCACGCGCCCTAGAGTGAAAAACCTCTCCAAAAAAAAAAGAAAAAGAAATGACCCCACAGGGGTATGGCCACATTGCAATCCCTTCTCCTCCATTCTCCTTTCTGGATTTTGGACACACATGCACACACATGTGCCTAGCATGTTTGTCAAGCTGTCAGGTCTGGGACTTGAACTGCAGAGCAAGCCATGTGGAATTCAGTGCCTTAATCACCATACCACCTGCTAGCCTAGATTTCATTTTCTTTGAATATTCAGAAGTGAAATTGCTGGATCAGACAGTAGTTCTATTTTTAGTTTTTTGATGAGCCTTCCTACTGTTTTCCATAATGGCATTTTTTTTTTTTAAGAGAGCTTTTTTCTATGGGGCTCATATGCTCACTGGAGACACCGAAAGAGACAGAGAGACAGAATGTGAAAAATCACATCCCCCTCCCTGGGAGAGGAGATGGCTATGCCTCATTCCCTTTCCCTGCATTCTCTTTTCGGGATTTTAGGCAGACATGCACATGCGCCTGGCATGAGTTTTAAGCTGCTGGGTCCAGGACTTGAACCACAGTTTACTACGTCAGAGTCCAGCGACATAATCATTATGCCATCTGCTGGTTCCCCACAATGGCAATATTAATTCACATTTCTATCAATAGTACTTCCTCCTTTTGCCTGTCAGGCCCCAGACTACCATTTCTAGCTGTACAGATTGGAGCCTTGACAGGGAAGCCTGGATGGGGGCAAGCAGACAGCCAGGAGCATTGGCACAGAGCTGCATCAACTAGGAGGCTAAAAGCACATTTTAAAAATTCATCCTTGGAGTCCAACAGGTGGTGTGGTAGTTAAGGCTCTGGACTCCCACATGGCTGACAGTGATTCAAATCCTGTACATGGTGGCTTGAAAATAATGCCAGGTATGTGTGCATGAGTGCTCAAAATCCCAAGAGGAGAATGGAGGAGAAGGGACTGTGGCGTGGCCATACCCCTTGGGGGTGATTTCTCACTCTCCTTCTCATTGTCTCTCTCACTGGCAAGCGTACATGCCCTATATCAAAAACCTTTAGAAAAAAAACCAAACATCATCTTCCTGGGGTTGGCATGTTTTATAGTAGGTGGACTCAGAAGGTCCCTAATTTCCTCAGTTTGCATCAAGGCTCCAAATGTGCTGGCAGTGGCCCTGCAGGGGTCTGGCTTAGCTGCTTACCTGGGCATGCTTGGACGTTGCATCTGGATACCTGAGTAGCATCTCCTGGGCAGAGGCGGCCACTTTTAGATGGTTCTGGACTGTCGCACAGCCGCCTCCGAGTCTTTTCACCTCCTCCACAAGAAGCAGAACACGGGCTCCAACTGTGCCAGTTACCCCAACTTCCGTCCACTGCAACAGGAATGGAGCGGTCAATGTGCGCACATGAGTGGCCCTGCCCACACCCCTACCACGGCAAGGTCTGCAACAACAGGCCACACCAATGAGCTCTAGTGAAATGCTTTCCTGGTCCTCCCTCCAGGAACTGAGACGCTCACCAGGACACGGGTCCGTGTTACACCTCTGGATCTGGGAGTCCGGCCCCGCGCAGGCTCTTCCTCCATTGGAGGGACGGGGGTTATCGCACGTGCGGTGCCGCCGCATCTGCCCTCCGTGGCACGACCGGCTGCACGTTCCCCAGCCGCTCCAGGGACTCCAGTGACCGTGGGCTACAACACAGAGTCACTTAGCATCAAAACGGAACTCTAGAACGAGAAGTGCTCGACAGTGACATTCCCCCCCATAAAGTAGGGAAAAGTCTCTTCTCGGGAACTGAAAAGAAACACACAATCTACTGATAGGCAACTCCCAAAGGCGGACAGTCTAGCTGCTGTTTTGGACCAGAAATTGGGAATGCATTTCAGTGACTGTGTGATTCCATTTAACATATGTCTATTGAGGTCACAGATACTGCAAGAACTGGAGGGCATAAATGAGACAGGGTCTCAGCTCTTGATAAGCCAAGGCTGTATCATTCAGGATAGCGTGACTCAAACTTCCAGACATCACGTTGCTGGTAGGGTCTAAAACGCTGGCTGACTTTAAGCAGAGAGCTGTCTGCTTGCTTCCATAAAGAAATTATAAGCATCACTAAGGGTCAGCATGGAGGGGTGCTCTCTTTGTCATACTCTGCAGTTGGTCCTAAATCAGGCAGATAAAACAAGACCCAGCCTATATGAATCAATGGCATTTATGGTATTACATGAGGGGTCTTCAACAAGTTCATGGAAACTAGCACATTATGAAAAATCTATGCATGGATTCCAAACTTTTTGCACTAACAACTTGTATTTTTAAAAAATTCAATATATTTTTAAGAATGATTCATTTAATTTAATTATTTTAAAATTGTTAATTTAATTTTCATTATTATTATTTTTAATTTTTTGCTGTAGGGCCTGTATGCTCACCAGAAAGAGAGAGAGAGAGAGAAAGGGAGAAAGCAAGCAGCCAGGTCTGGGACTCAAACCATGGTTGGTCATGTGGGAGTCTATCACCTTAACCACAATACCACTTGCTAGTTCCTAATTTAATTTATTCTTCTTCTTCTTCAATTTGACTGGAGAGAGACAGATATATATATATATATATAGAGAGAGAGAGAGAGAGAGAGAGAGAGCGAGCCACCAGGTCTGGAACTCAAACCTTGTTTGGTTGTGTAGGAGTCTAATGCCTTAGCCACCGCGCCACCTGCCAGCCCCCCAAAACTTTCATTTTAATTTCATTTTTTATGAAATTTATGGAATCTTCTTATCTAGCTACAACAGCGGCCATACAACATTTTGAGGCTGTAAACCAAAGGCTGAAGTAAAAGAATATTATAACTTTAAGGATGTAAGGACATACCGAAATTTAAAGAAAGTATAATGTTGACTCACTATTTCCAACACTCACTTGGACAAGGGTCACTGTTGCAAAAATCACTCTGGACATCACTCCCTTCACATTTGCTTCCTCCATACTGGGGGACAGGGTCAGAGCAGTCCCTTGTTCTCTGCCTGGCACCTCCTCCACAGGACACAGAACAGGCACTCCAGCTGGCCCAGGCTGCCCACTTGCCATCAACTGAATTGAGGAGAAAAAATAGATGTGCTTTGTTAGTAACTAAAAGCGATCAGGTTAAACCCTGTGCATTGTTAGGACGGGTGTTGCTCTTGTGGGTACAGTCAGAATGCAAGAGATCTTTATGGACACATTGCCTAGATGAGGTAGGTATTAATTTATTCAGGGTACAAAGATTGTATATCTCCTTCCTGGACAGTGCCTTTCATTGCAGACTACCTAGATAAGAGGTAGGTGTTAATTTAGTCCGGGTAAAAGAGTGTATTCCTCCTACCTGGACAGTGTCTTTCATTGCAAACTTGCATTTGTGTTTCTACCCCATCACAGTAGGATCCATCAAAAGAGGGTGGTGGGTTATTGCAAAGCCTTGTTCTCATCTGAGTTCCTTTCCCACAACTTTTGCTGCAGGCACCCCACGCCTGCCAAGCACTCCACGCTCCATGAACTACAAACAACCCAAGACAGAGTTTCAAGTTAAGAAACTGTTTGTTCAAAAAACAAATTATACAAATACATTAACTCAGTAACAAGTTAAATGAGCCCACAATCTAAAATAATTGACACTAGACCAAAGGAAATAAAACAAATGATGTTCTTCCTTTCTCCTTTGGGGTAGGTTGTCAGAGGAATTTGTGTATAGAGAGAAATTCAGAAGGCCTACCTAATGCCAAAATAAATGCTTAAAATGATCCAAAGGGGCTATTTTATTAAAATTATATTTAATTAAACTACCATAAGGAAACACAATCTGAGCTTTGCAACCGTAGCTAAGTATGTGTCTATTATGCTCTGTGCTCTGGGGACAGAGGAAAGAACCAGGGGCTTGGGAGCGAGGCTGTGTAATAGATTTAGATGTGGTTTTGAGGAATATAAATATGTCCACAAGAGGAGGGGCCGACATGCGGTGTGGTGATCGGGGCTCTGGACTCCCACATGACTGACTGTGGTTCGAGTTTTGGACGGGGCCACTGGACTGGGCCGCTGGACTCCCACATGGCTGAACTGTGGTTCAAGGTGTGGACCGGGCCACTGGCTTTCTCACTTTCTCTCTCTTTGGTCAAATTTAAAAAAAATAATTAAAAAAATAATTCTTTTTTTTTTTTTGGGGGGGGGAGGTTTTTGCTACAGGGTGTGTGTGTTCGCCAGAAAGACAGAGACAGAGAGAAAGATTGTGGGGGTGTGGGGTGGGTGGCCACGCCACAATCCCTTCTTCTCCATTCTCCTCTTGGGATCTTGGGTGCACACGCACACGCGCCCAGGTCTGGTCACTGGGTCTGGGACTCGAACCGTGGTCAACTACATGGGAGTCCAGTGACATAGCCATTATGCTAACTGCTGGTCCTCAAAAAATAATTCTTTATAAAAATATCTCCACAAGGATAACTGGGACCCCTGATGGCGGGGTCTTTAAGCCTGATTCCGTTTCAAACTTATGTATAAACCTGAATCTTTCAATGACATGATGACTGGCACAGTTATGACTGTTTGCAATTTTTTCTCCATTACATAATGCTCATGAATTAAAAATTTTGAATAACATACTCACCTGCTTCCTAAACAGAAAAAACTGACCAGCAGTTTCCAAGGGATTCTATTAAAGCCTTGCTTTTGGTAACTAACACATTACACCATCTGACCACAAAACGGGAACGGCCTTGTTTCCTACCAGGTGCATGGGCTGAGAATCAACATGGTTTTCCTTATGTGTGTCAACAAGTATCAGTCAGCTTCTCATTATATAGTTAACATTGTTCACACATGGTACAGAAATCACTCTAATCAGGTATTTCTGCCCTGTTTTGCTTTAGAAACTGGTGTTAATACAATTAGCTTTCTAAGTATGCAAGGCTTAAAAAAATTGGCTTTGGTTTACTTTCTTTAAGATTTCAGGGCAGTATTTTGTTACTGTAACATAATTTAAGTCCTAAATACAAGCCAAGATATCTATGAGGGAAGTAAATAGGTTTGGGGATCAGATCAACCAGAGTTCCAAATCTCGATTCACTTTTTCTTTTGGAGAGGTTTTTGCGATAGGGCGCGTGTGCTCACCAGAAAGACAGAGAGAGACAGAGAGACAGAAAGCGAGGAATGACCCCCTCCCCGGGGGTGGGAGGTGTGGGGGGGAATGACCACGCTGCAATCCCTTCTCCTCTATTCTCTCGGGAGCTTGGGCATGCACACACATGTGCCTGGCGTGAGTTTAAGCCACCAGGTCCGGGACTTGAACGCAGATCGACTACATGGGAGTTCAGCAACATAGCCATTATACCAACTGCTGGTCCCTTTGATTCACTTTTACTAGCTGTTGTAACCTTAATGAATCACTTAACATTACTTTCTGAATTCTTTCCCAACTGCATATATGTATTGGTTTGTCCTTATCTCTCTTTTGATCATTCCAGACGAAGTGTCTCCTCCATTACTGCAATTCTTTGAATTAGTTCAGTATGCTTATCAATACTGGATCCTGTCTGTGTGTCATTCTAACTCTAGCAGTTAGATCAGAGCCTGAGTACAGAGTAGGTGGTCAATCGATATTTGTTGGGCAAAAAAAATAATTCTTTTTTTTTTTTTGGGGGGGGGAGGTTTTTGCGACAGGGTGTGTGTGTTCGCCAGAAAGACAGAGACAGAGAGAAAGATTGTGGGGGTGTGGGGTGGGTGGCCACGCCACAATCCCTTCTTCTCCATTCTCCTCTTGGGATCTTGGGTGCACACGCACACGCGCCCAGGTCTGGTCACTGGGTCTGGGACTCGAACCGTGGTCAACTACATGGGAGTCCAGTGACATAGCCATTATGCTAACTGCTGGTCCTCAAAAAATAATTCTTTATAAAAATATCTCCACAAGGATAACTGGGACCCCTGATGGCGGGGTCTTTAAGCCTGATTCCGTTTCAAACTTATGTATAAACCTGAATCTTTCAATGACATGATGACTGGCACAGTTATGACTGTTTGCAATTTTTTCTCCATTACATAATGCTCATGAATTAAAAATTTTGAATAACATACTCACCTGCTTCCTAAACAGAAAAAACTGACCAGCAGTTTCCAAGGGATTCTATTAAAGCCTTGCTTTTGGTAACTAACACATTACACCATCTGACCACAAAACGGGAACGGCCTTGTTTCCTACCAGGTGCATGGGCTGAGAATCAACATGGTTTTCCTTATGTGTGTCAACAAGTATCAGTCAGCTTCTCATTATATAGTTAACATTGTTCACACATGGTACAGAAATCACTCTAATCAGGTATTTCTGCCCTGTTTTGCTTTAGAAACTGGTGTTAATACAATTAGCTTTCTAAGTATGCAAGGCTTAAAAAAATTGGCTTTGGTTTACTTTCTTTAAGATTTCAGGGCAGTATTTTGTTACTGTAACATAATTTAAGTCCTAAATACAAGCCAAGATATCTATGAGGGAAGTAAATAGGTTTGGGGATCAGATCAACCAGAGTTCCAAATCTCGATTCACTTTTTCTTTTGGAGAGGTTTTTGCGATAGGGCGCGTGTGCTCACCAGAAAGACAGAGAGAGACAGAGAGACAGAAAGCGAGGAATGACCCCCTCCCCGGGGGTGGGAGGTGTGGGGGGGAATGACCACGCTGCAATCCCTTCTCCTCTATTCTCTCGGGAGCTTGGGCATGCACACACATGTGCCTGGCGTGAGTTTAAGCCACCAGGTCCGGGACTTGAACGCAGATCGACTACATGGGAGTTCAGCAACATAGCCATTATACCAACTGCTGGTCCCTTTGATTCACTTTTACTAGCTGTTGTAACCTTAATGAATCACTTAACATTACTTTCTGAATTCTTTCCCAACTGCATATATGTATTGGTTTGTCCTTATCTCTCTTTTGATCATTCCAGACGAAGTGTCTCCTCCATTACTGCAATTCTTTGAATTAGTTCAGTATGCTTATCAATACTGGATCCTGTCTGTGTGTCATTCTAACTCTAGCAGTTAGATCAGAGCCTGAGTACAGAGTAGGTGGTCAATCGATATTTGTTGGGCAAATGAATGAATGATTGCATGGACAGCCTCTCTGTTGCATATGATTTCTTTTGGGCTACCAAACAAGGGTTTCCTGACACTAAATGGGTTCGGAATCCAGTTGGATGTCAGAGTATGTTCTGGACGCAGCTGAGCAGGGGTGAACACATTTCCCTAACAGAACCACAGAGGATTCTTCTCAGAGGCCAACATGAGCTCAGAGAGACAGAGGAACTCTTCATTTAGGAGGCCGTACTTAGATTAAAAGCCCCTGTCAGCCAGACACTGCCAGTAGTCATTTTTTCCATCACATGGGATGAGTTTAATGGGAAATAAAGCCAAAGTAGAGATGACAGATGGAAAACATGCTAGTAAAAACACTGTCCAAATCCCTGTAAAGAATTTTTTTGGGGGGACCAGCAGTTAGCGTAATGGCTATGTCGCTGGACTCCCATGTAGTCGACCGCAGTTCATGTCCTGGACTTGGTGACTTAGAACTCACGCCGGGCGGGTGTGCGTGCATGCCCAAGATCCTGAGAGGAGAATGGAGGAGAAGGGATTGCGGCGTGACCATCCCCCCTGGGGGGTGATTTCTCGCTTTCTGTCTCTATGTCTCTCTCTGTCTGTCTGGCAAGCGCACGCGCCCTATAGAAAAACCTCTCCAAAAAAAAAAAAAAAAAAAGAATTTTTTTTTTTAACCTAAGCTTATTTAAGTTCGATTTCTGTCACTTTTATCTGGAGTCCTAAAGTACAAAGTTGATAATTGCATGTGTGACATACAAAGCACATAGCATGGACCCTGTCATGATAGAGATCAAGGGAATGATGATTCATTTTACCCACCACCAGGTGTGTGTTTCTGGGTACCTCTTTAACCTATGTTTAGGCTGCATTTTTCTTCCCTGAAAGTGGATGTCTGAATTAGATGTTACCAAAGATCTCTGTTGCCTTTAAAATGCTCTGACTTTGTAAATATTTATATTTTATCTACTGACCCAACAATAAACCATGATTGGTCAATTAAATCGGGTATTTCACTTCACATTCATTAATGTCAAACCTTCATGAGTTCAAACATGACATGGAACTAAGAACATAGAGAATGAATGTATTCTCAAGGTAGAAGCAGTGACATCTCACAATGAGGAACAAAAAATA